TCAATTTTTGCCCGATTTTTTGCCCGATTTCTTCCCCAATTTTTCCCCGATTTTTTCCCCAATTTTTTTGCCAATTTTTTCCCGGTTTTTCCCCGATTTTCCCCCTGATTTTTCCCACATTTTTCCCCGTTTTTACCCGATTTTTCCCCAATTTTTCCCCAATTTTTTCCCAATTTTCCCCCGATTTTTTCCTGATTTTTCCCGAATTTTCCCCGATTTTTCCCCAATTTTTCCCCAATTTTTTCCCAATTTTTTCCCAATTTTTTGCCCGATTTTTTTCCGGATTTTTCCCCGATTTTCCCCCGATTTTTTTCCCAATTTTTCCCTGATTTTTCCCCAATTTTTCCTCGATTTTTTGCCCCGATGTTCCCCGATTTTTCCCCGATTTTTTCCCCGATTTTGTCCCCAATTTTTCCCAAATTTTTCCCCAATTTCCCCCCGATTTTTCCCCAATTTCCCTCCAATTTTCCCCAATTTTCCCCTGATTTCCCCCCAATTTCCCCCCGATTTTCCCCCAATTTTCCCCCAATTTTCCCCCGATTTTTCCCCCATTTTCCCCTGATTTTCCCCCAATTTTTTCCCCAATTTCCCCCCAATTTCCCCCCAATTTTTCACCAATTTTCCCCCAATTTCCCCCAATTATTCCACAATTTTTTCTCAATTTTTTTCCCGATTTTCCCCAATTTCCCCCCAATTTGTTCCCAATTTTCTCCCAAATTTCCCCCAATTTTTCCCCGATTTTTTCCCTATTTTTCCCAATTTTTCCCCAAATTTTCCCGCGATTTTTCCCTATTTTTTCCCTATTTTTTCTCCAATTTTTCCCAAATTTTTTCTCAATTTTTTTCCCGATTTTTCCCCAATTTTCCCCTGATTTTGCCCTGATTTTTCCCCAATTATTTCACAATTTTTTCTCATTTTTTTTCCCCCGATTTTCCCCCAATTTTTTTCCAATTTTTCCCCAATTTTCCCCAATTCCCCCCGATTTCCCCCCAATTTTTCCCCAATTTTCCCCCGATTTTCCCCGATTTTCCCCCGATTTTCCCCCCAATTTTCCCCCCAATTTTTCCCCAATTTCCCCGCAATTTCCCCCCAATTTTTCCCCAATTTTTCCCTGATTTTTCCCTGATTTTCCCCCAATTTTTCCCGATTTTTTTCCTGATTTTCCCCAATTTTCCCCCAATTTTTCCCAATTATTCCACAATTTTTCCCCCAATTTTCCCCCAATTTTTCCCCGATTTTTTCCCTATTTTTTCCCTATTTTTTCCCGATTTTGCCCTGATTTTGCCCCGTTTTTTCCCCAATTTTTCCCCGATTTTTCCCCGTTTTTTCCCAAATTTTCCCAGATTTTTCCCCCGATTTCCCCCAATTTCCCCCCAATTTTCCCCCGATTTCCCCCCAATTTTTCCCCAATTTCCCCCCAATTTTCCCCCAATTTTTCTCCCAATTTTCCCCCAATTTTTCCCCCAATTTTCCCCCAATTTTTCCCCCAATTTTTCCCCCAATTTCCCCCAATTTTTTCCCTATTTTTTCCCTATTTTTCCCTATTTTTTCCCGATTTTTCCCCAATTTTTCCCCAATTTTTCCCCGATTTTCCCCCAATTTTTCCCCCGATTTTTCCCCAATTTTCCCCTGATTTTCCCCCAATTTTTCCCCGATTTTTCCCCAATTTTTCCTTGATTTTTTTCCCCCAATTTTCTCCCTATTTTTCCCCGATTTTCCCGCAATTTTTTTGCCAATTTTCCCCTGATTTTTCCTTGATTTTCCCCCGATTTTTCCCCGATTTTCCCGCAATTTTTTTGCCAATTTTTCCCCAATTTTTCCTCGATTTTCCCCCGATTTTTCCCTGATTTTCTCCCAATTTTTTGTGCCAATTTTTCCCCGATTTTTTTCCTGATTTTCCCTCAATTATTCCACAATTTTTTCTCAATTTTTCCCCGATTTTCCCCCGATTTTTGCCAATATTTTCCCAATTTTCCCCCCAATTTCCCCCCAATTTTTCACCGATTTTTGCCAATATTTTCCCAATTTTCCCCCCAATTTCCCCCCAATTTCCCCCCAATTTCCCCCTGTTTTCCCCCAATTTTTCCCCCGAATTTTCCCAATTATTCCACAATTTTTTCTCAATTTCCCCCTAATTTCCCCCAATTTTTTTGCCCCCTCTCCGCAGAGGTCCAGTTCCGCCCGTACCGCACCGACGACTTCATCACGCGCCTCTACTACGAGACGCCGCGCCTCACCGTGCTCAACCAGACCTGGGTGCTGAAGGCGCGCGTCAACGACTCCGAGCGCAACCCCAACCTCTCGTGCAAGCGCACGCTGAGCTTCCAGCTGATCCTCAAGAGCAAGGTCAACTCGCCCATGGAGTGCTCCTTCCTCCTCCTCGAGGGGCCCTACGACGACGTCAAGATCCGCCCCGTCATCTACCACTTCGTCTTCAGCAACGAGAGCAACGAGACCGACTACATGGCGCTGCCCATCGTCGACTCGGTGGAGTGCAACAAACTGCTGGCGGCCAAGAACATCAACCTGCGCCTTTTTATATTCCAGATCCAAAAATAAAGCGCCCGCCTGACTTTGGCTTTTTCTCCCCCCGGGGGGATGGGAACTGGAGGGTGGGGTTTTGGGGTGTTTTTTTTTTGGGGTTTTTTTTGGGGGAGGGTGAGGGTGGAAAGAGGATGATGATGGTGATGATGGTGATGATGATGATGAAGAGTTTTAGCGGTGTTGGCGTTGTCGGACGCGGCCGGGAAGGCGGCGGAAGCATTAAAGGAAGCGGAGTTGACGTGGTTGAGAGTGGGTTGGGAGAGGGGAAAAAATGGGGTGGGAATGGGTTGGGAAAGGAGAAAAAAATGGGTGGAAATTGGTGGAAATGGGTTGGGAGAGAGAAAAATTGGTGGTGAGTGAATGGAGTTGGCTTGGAACCGTCAAAAATGGGTTGGAAGTGACAAAAATGGGTGGGAATTGGTGGAAATCGGTTGGGAGAGGGAAGAAATGGGTGGAAATTGGTGGAAATGGGTTGGAATTGAGAAAAATTGGTGGTGAGTCAATGGAGATGGCTTGGGACCATCAAAAATGGGTTGGAAGTGACAAAAATTGGGAGTGAGTGAATGGAATTGGCTTGGGACCATCAAAAATGGGTTGGAATTGGTGAAAATGGGTTGGAAAAGACAAAACTGGGTGGGAATTGGTAAAAATGGGTTGGGAGAGAGAAAAACTGGGGGTGAGCAAATGGAACTGCCTTGGAACCATCAAAAATGGGTTGGAAGTGACAAAAATGGGTGGAAATTGGTGAAAATGGGTTGGAAGTGACAAAAGTTGGTGGGAAAGCAACAAAAGTTGGTGGTGAGCAAACGGAGTTGGCTTGGAACCATCAAAAATGGGTTGGAAAAGACAAAAATGGGTGGAAATTGGTGAAAACGGGTTGGAAGAGAGAAAAGTTGGTGGTGAGTGAATGAAATTACATCGGAACCATCAAAAATGGGTTGGAAGTGACAAAAATGGGTTTAAAGAGGAAAAAATTCGTGGTGAGCGAATGGAGTTGGATTGGAACCATCAAAAATTGGTGGAAATTGGTGAGAATGGGTCAGAAAAGAGAAAAAAATGGGTGGAAATTGGTGGAAATGGGTTGGAAAAGACAAAACTGGGTGGAAATTGGTGGGAATCGGTTGGGAAAGGAGAAAAAATGGGTGGAAATTGGTGGAAATGGGTTGGGAGAGAGAAAAAATGGTGGTGAGCGAATGGAATTGGCTTGGAACCATCAAAAATGGGTTGGAAGTGACAAAAATGGGTTGGAAAAGACAAAATCAGTGGTGAGAAAATGGAGTTGACTTGGAACCATCAAAAATGGGTGGAAATTGCTGAAAATGGGTTGGAAGCAGCAAAAATTGGTGGTGAGTGAATGGAATGGCCTTAAAACATCAAAAAATGGGTTGGAAGAGACAAAAATGGGTGGTGAGGGAGTGGAATTATATTGGAACCATCAAAAATGGGCTGGAAGTGACAAAAATTGGTTTAAAGTGGAAAAAATTGGTGATGAGTGAATGGAGTTGGCTTGGGACCATCACAAATGGGTTGGAATTGGTGAAAATGGGTTGGAAAAGACAAAACTGGGTGGGAATTGGTAAAAATGGGTTGGAAGAGAGAAAAAATGGGTTGGAAGTGACAAAAATTGGTTTAAAGAGGAAAAAAGTTGGTGGTGAGTGAATGGAATTGCCTTGGGACCATCAAAAATGGGTGGAAATTGGTGAAAATGGGTTTAAAGCAACAAAAATTGGTGGTGAGGAAATGGAGTTGGCTCGGAACCATCAAAAATGGGCTGAAATGGGTAAAAATGGGTTGGAAGAGGCAAAAATGGGTGGTGAGCAAATGGAATTGGCTTGGAACCATCAAAAAATGGGTTGGAAGTGGTGAAATTGGGTTGGAAGAGGGAAAAATGGGTGGGAATTGGTGAGAATGGGTTGGAAAGGAGAAAAAATGGTGGGAAAGCGACAAAAGTTGATGGTGAGGAAATGGAGTTGGCTTGGAACCATCAAAAATGGCGCTGAGGTGGTGAAAATGGGTTGGAAAAGAGAAAAATTGGTGGTGAGTGAATGGAATTGGTTTGGAACCATCAAAAATGGGTGGAAATTGGTGAAAATGGGTTGGAAGCACCAAAAATTGGTGGTGAGTGAATGGAATGGCCTTAAAACATCAAAAAATGGGTTGGAAAAGACAAAAATGGGTTGGAAAAGACAAAAGTTGGTGGTGAGCGAATGGAATCAGCTTGGGACCATCGAAAATGGGTTGCAATTGTTGCAAATGGGTTGGAAAAGACAAAACTGGGTGGAAATTGGTAAAAATGGGTTGGAAAGGAGAAAAAATGGGTGTTGAGAGAATGGAGTTGACTTGGAACCATCAAAAATGGGTTTGAAGTGACAAAAATTGGTTTAAAGCGGCAAAAATTGGTGGTGAGTGAATGGAGTTGGCTTGGGGCCATCAAAAATGGGTGGAAATTGGTGAAAATGGGTTGGAAGCAGCAAAAATCGGTGGTGAGCAAATGGAACGGCCTTAAAACATCAAAAATGGGCTGGAAGTGACAAAAATTGATTCAAAGTGACAAAAATGGATTGGAAAAGACAAAATTTGGTGGTGAGCGAATGAAATTATGTTGGAACCATCAAAAATGGGTTGGAAGTGACAGAAATTGGTTTAAAGTGGAAAAAAAAAGGTGGTGAGCGAATGGAATTAGGTTGGAACCATCAAAAATGGGTTGGAAATTGGTGAAATTGGGTTGGAAGAGAGAAAAATGGGTTGGAAAACACAAAAATGGGTTGGAAAAGACAAAAATGGGTTGGAAAAGACAAAAGTTGGTGGTGAGTGAACAGAGTTGGCTTGGAACCATCAAAAATGGGCTGGAATTGGTGAAAATGGGTTGGAAGTGACAAAAATTGGTGGTGAGCGAATGGAATTGCCTGGGAACTGTCAAAAAATGGTTGGAAGTGACAAAAATGGGTTGGAAGCACCAAAAATTGGTGGTGAGCGAATGGAATTGGCTTGGGACCTTCAAAAATGGGTGGAAATTGGTGGAAATGGATTGGAAGAGAGAAATATGGGTGAAAATTGGTAAGAATGGGTTGGAAAAGAGAAAAAATGGTTGGAAAAGACAAAAGTTGGTGGTGAGTGAATGGAATGGCCTTGGAACATCAAAAATTGCAAGGAAATGACAAAAATGGGTTGAAAATACAAAAATGGGTTGGAAAAGACAAAATTTGGTGGTGAGCAAATGGAATCGGCTTGGGGACCATCAAAAATGGGTTGGAAGTGACAAAAATGGGTGGAAATTGGTGAAAATGGGTTCGAAGAGAGAAGAAATGGTGGGAGAGTGACAAAAGTTGGTGGGAAAGTGACAAAAATTGGTGGTGAGCAAATGGAATTGGATTGGAACCATCAAAAATGGGTGAAAATTGGTGAAAATGGGTTGGAAGAGAGAAAAATGGGTGGAAATTGGTGAAAATGGGTTGGGAGAGAGAAAAAATGGTTGGAAAACACAAAAATGGGTTGGAAACACAAAAGTTGGGGGTGAGCGAAGGAAATTTCATAGGGACCATCAAAAATGGGTTGGAAGTGATGAAAATGGGTTTAAAGTGGAAAAAATTGGTGGTGAACGAATGGAATTACATTGGAACCATCAAAAATGGGTGGAAATCGGTGGGAATGGGATGGAAAAGAGAAAAAATGGGTTGGAAGTGACAAAAGTTGGTGGTGAACGAATGGAATTGGCTTGGGACCATCAAAAATGGGTGGAAATTGGTGAAAATGGGTTGGAAAAGAGAAAAATTGGTTGGAAGTGACAAAAATGGGTTGGAAAAGACAAAAATGGGTGGAAATGGGTTGGAAAAGAGAAAAATGGGCTGGAAGTGACAAAAGTTGGCGGTGAGAAAACGGAGTTGGCTTGGGACCATCAAAAATGGGTGGAAATTGGTGAAAATGGGTTTGAAGAGACAAAAATGGGTGAAAATTGGTAAAAATGGGTTGGAAAGGAGAAAAATGGGTTGGAAGCAGCAAAAATTGGTGGTGAGCGAATGGAATTACCTTAAAACATCAAAAAATGGGTTGGAAGTGACAAAAATGGGTTGGAAAAGACAAAAATTGGTGGTGAGAAAATGAGTTGGCTTGGAACC